CCCCAAAACCCCAAAACCCCAAAACCCCAAATAAGGTAATCTTTGTTGAAAAAATATATAACAAACTGATATAATATACTTAATGGAGAAACAACCTGAAGGTAAGAACGGGCCCCACTGAATAATACCCTATAAACATACTGATACCTCAACCTACATTGCTGTATAAAGCTTCCTAGCTCGTCTCGCTTTGGGATGAGCCATGTCAGGGGTGGAAATTACACAAGTTATTAACCTGAAATAAAACCGATCCTAATTTTCACAAAGTTTTACATGTGTAACTCTAGGTTAGCATAATTTATGTGTATGAATCCCTGGGTCTCTCACAGAGAATACATCAGCATGACTGTTTGCCATATAGGACAAATTAGAAATATTTTTAAATGGAGTTTTAGAATACTCGATTATAAAGCCCAGAATTTACTCACTAATGAATCAAATATATGGCTATAAGTAATTGTGTTATTCTAAAACAAACTAGGACCTTATTCGCCTGTGTCTGTGCTACTCATAGTGTACTTTTGAGCATCAGACTTTTAGTAAGCAACAAATTGTATGATCTGAAAGTATGAGATGCTCCTCTATCCTATTATTCTTATCATAATTTGTAAAACCTTGACACTAAATCGGTCCTTCCAGGGTGGACTTTCTAGTCCATATAGGTCATACTATAAATGCAAAAATTACCCCTAAGGTATTTTAAACCGAACTGAATAGATTTAAATGCAACAATTAAGTGCACTTCAAAAGGACAAACAAGCAAACTCTACTTATTACACTCCTGGGTGGAAAATTCCATCCAGGATGACCCAACCGAGTATTGGCAAATCAACCCTTTTTAACCTGAAAGAATAATTTGATTATTTAATACATATCAGGATCACCTTTTTGCTGACTTATAAAGGCTCATGGAGCTGAAGTTTCAGATTTCCTCCATCTATAATTCCTAAATGATCTTAGCGGATATTAATACATTAAAACTTTCCCTATTAGCACGAAAAGGTATAAAATTTGGTGACAAGAAAGCAGTGATTAGGAAACGAACAAAATAAGGTTTCATTATGGCTGATTAACCTACCCATTTCACCTGCTTAATAGAGAAACACCAAGTGAGGACCCTTAGTTCTCAAAATTAGAATTTCCGATGGTCTTTTTGCATTTCTAGTAATCCCAGTTATTATAGGAAATATTCTTAATGAATTTGATATCGACGATGACTTACTTGAGGAGCACTGAGAAGTCAGAAAAATACCCAACTTTGAGAGCAGCTTTAATTTCAAAGATAATAAAGGAACTCCTCTACAGCCTTATTGTAGAAGATCACAGCTTTCATCTCGGAAAGAAGCATATCGAAAAATCAGCATCAGCCACAAAGGCAAGCGGACAGGAAGGTCTTGGTGCCAAAAGGAGAGCCAAAATGAGCATTTAGAGTCTCCTATGAAACAAACTAACTCCCTCATCGAGGAGAATAAGTTTATGGTTGCTAAAAAGATGGTTAGGCCTCAAAACAAGACTCTTGTAGAGCCCGTTACAATGAAAAATTGTCAGGAGAACATTAGTATAAGTAACTATAGATTCTTAAAACCCAACTCTAATTTTGAACTTCCGAAATATTCGAAATCTAACATATATAGGCCAAAAATTACGAGATCTTGAATTGAAGCCAGGGATGACAAATTTAGACTCTGGGTTTGCAGCCCAGCAATTTTCCAGGAAGATGAGGACTATAACTAATATCGCCAAAAATAAAACCTGTGCTCGTAATTTTGTCAACCAGGACTTATTCGAAGTGATTGGGGAAGAAAGCTTAAAGTCAAATATTAATAAAATAAAAGTCTCTAGGCGCAGAAAGTCAATCTGCAGGTCTAAAGAGGTCAGAACAAGGAGTATTGTGAAGAAGAGGAGGACCAAGATGGCCACCAAGGCTTCTCGGAACACCTGCTCAACGAGGCATAAGACTATGACCAAGGCATCAGTGCTAGACTTGACTATCCTCAAGGCTGATATAAGCTATCTAGAGGAAGGAAGGCTACAGTTGAGGTAATTCATAGCTCTCTGCAGAATGTTAACTTCGTTTTAGGGAGATTCCATCACCTTCATATGAGCCTAAATGTGGCAGGCATATACTCCACCACCCCAAAGAGGAGGAGGCAAATTTTGGATTCCCCGACACACAGGAGGTACAGAGACCCTCCATGCCAGAAGTTATTGAATATTCTCTCGATGAGGCTTGTAATAGGTCTCCAAAGGTATCCACTCCATCTTTCCAGAAGCGATAAACGGTTTAATATATACCAACTAGCTTGGCTAAGTAAGGGGTTTTGGGGTTTTGGGGTTTTGGGG